AGGAGAGGGAAGGTCGAAGCAGAGGGGTGGCCAGGAGGCTTGTTCAGGACTATGATTCTTTAAACGTGAGTATACGACGAGAGGAGCGAAATGCAAGGATGACACACATTTATACCAAACGTTCGAGGACGCCGCCGACCTCCCTCAGGCGTCAGGAGAGCGTTTGTACTAGAAACTCTTACAGCGGCGCGTCCGTCCAATCCTTCCCCTTCCCACATGCGCTGATGATCGAGAGGTGATTTCGTGAACGGCACCGTGGTCTTGAGCGGGAGCGACGAGGTGGGATCATCTATGCAAGAGTCTGAACACGCAGTTCAGATAGAGACCAGAGAGGTCGAGATGTTGAACGAAGTTGACGTCATTTGAGAGTGTATTGTGACGTGTTTGGCAAAGCCTTGGCGCATCTCTTTTCTGTAACGGTCATTTCTTTCTTATCTACTTAGTACGTCGTCGACCCGTCCCACTCAGCTTTCTCCTCCCTCGCCTACCACTGTTACTTTGTCACCATGCCCGTTTTTTCTCTCCCTACCTGTGCAGCGGAAGACCTGCAAACGCCCACACACTCTAGAAATATAGAAAACGAAGACAACCTCCGAGTCGAAGCTACCCAGCGATAGAAGTGCCTCCCAAATCTTGTTCGTTTGGGATTAGGTATTATTCTTGCAAGTCGATATACGCTATCGCAGACCTAAGTTCGATACAATCAACACATACAACGAGATGACTTTCGCTCACGGCATCCCATGGCGCCGACGCTCTCTCTACTTCCTCTCCATGGTCTAGCTATGCATTCGACAGGGAAATTGGGCTGCCCCTCTGCAATATACGCAACCTCTACTTTCACGACACCCTTCTCAACTCCTCAGTCTCTGGCCCTGATGTTACCCGTCAGACAATCCAGCACCATCTCCGTCTCTGAGTCCAGAAAATGAAGGCTATGAAGGTCCAACGCAACCGGACATGGACACGGAGATAGAGCTTCGTGCAAGCTCCCCCCTGAACATGCGTTTGCAATCAAGAGGGTGAGGGTTTTATCGCACATTTTGATGTTTGTGTCTGCAACATCGACATCGACTGCGAGGAGCGAACCTCCTCGAAGATGCAGTCAACCTCCTATCTGCCTTCAGGTGCAGCGAGGCAGAGGACCCTTACTTGAACCTTCACAGTCCCGTGCATGTCAAGAGACATCAAGGAAATTCACGTCCCGCTCAATGATGCCCCACTCTCGAAGGACGACCATACTTCCGTCGAGCTGCAGAACTCGGGTAGCACGGTATTTTTCGCAGAACGGATCTGTGCTAACCCAGGCGCATTTTACTTGCCTCCGCCCCGTCGGACAGCCTTACGAATTCTGGAGCTCGGCGCTGAGACAGGCATTGCTCAGCGTCGTGGACGAAATCCTGCGGGTGCCCGTTTATGGCGCGCTGTGCTTCACCCATGGAGAAAGGAAAATCACGCCATCTCCTTGGGGCGATTGGCCTCTGCACGTTTTCTCTCTGGACACAAGCAAGGTGTAGCGCTTAGAGAACGAATGGATTTATGATCTACAGGTCTATCTTTCGGCATTTGGGCGGAGCTTGATAAACCAGTTTCATCCAGAGGAACCTCCATAAGATCAAGAGCGTTAGCAAGAAGACGGTACTCACAACTGACACCCAAGTCGCCCCCGGACACCTATTGTCTTCTCAACCTCCGATCCTCCTTTCGGTACGTTAGATCGCAGAAATTGTATTCTCACGACTTGCTGCTTCTTATAAGAAATTGCCAACTGATGAATTTTTGTCTTCCACAGGTTTATCAACGGTTTCGAGATGCTTGTCAACATGTTGTTGTGTCCTTTGTAACGCCTACGACTGACAGCACCCCCGTGGGCCTGTCAATTACGTCCTGACGCGACACCGACGCGACACCGGAACGGCACACGTGTCTAGGGCATGAGTCGATCAGACCGATACACGGATGGCATTCCTCGGTACACCAACGAGTTTATTCACCAATCCTTCAAATCCCCTTCTTTTGTATCGCGCCTTCAATGAGAGAGAACGTAGAGTCTCTAACGCTGCTCAGCAATGGCGAATACGACGAGGATAGAGGTCCGTTATTTGGCTCCAAATCATTTACTTCTGCCGTACTGAAACGTTGCCTTGACTAGTCTCTTATGGACATCCTCGCAGCGCGAACAACAAGCCATCGGCGTCTCTATCTCTTGCTCTCATTCTGTTCTTCATCGTTGACATCGCTGCCTTCCTCGTAATCGCAAAGATGCTTCTGAACGTCACTTCGACTTTCCAGAATGAAGATGAGATGGAGTTCAGAAATCCGTATTTTGGCCTCGACGAACTTTACGCACAGCATAGGATCCAAAGCTCGGTTTACCCTAAAATTGTCAACGAACCCAAGCTGGCGGCGCAAATTAGTTCTGCTGAGCCTGACAAAATATTTCCAGTGGATTTACATCAGTGGTTGAGCGATTTCGGGCGGCTTTCGCCTCCTGACCGCCGTTTGCAAGTCTCGAAGGATGTAGGTTGTTTCAAAAAAAACTTATGGGACTCGGCCTCATTCCTTCTCTCCACCAGATCCACACCATCATACAGCACAACGTTCTGGATTACGGGATGGAAAAATGCGCCATCGCTATTCGACTGCCCGCTCGCGGCGATGCTTTACCTCACCCATACACGTTGCCACCCGCTGGCGACACCGTACGACTTAGCATCTGCGAACTCGATGCCAAGCGGCCGCTGAAGGAGCACACACTCTCCTGGTCAAAGCGCCCACCCTGCGTTCGACAGCTTGTTCCCGTCGACGCGAAGATCGGAGGAGAGGTCGAACTGGAACCGTTCGCCTGCAAGTCGGACTCTTATCTGACGTATCAGATCTCCTGCGCTGAAGACTCGCCTGGGTGTAATGTGGATGTTTGGACGAATCACAACCAGACCTGGGGTACGCATACTTTTTAATCCTTTGTCGTTTGCTCTCTGAATATTCGTCCGACAGGAGTCTTCATCAATCAGTATCAAACTTTGTAGCAAACAGCCCTCTGAGCCTGTCGGTGATTGCTTCATAGTGGCTCGAGCTCTATTTTCCTCGTAGGCATGAAGACGAATGCAATGTGTTGGTCTTAAACTGCTCTTGACGATATTCTCAACCGAGACTCAGAGTTCAATCATTTCCCGATATCCTCCAGATTCTCCAATCTCCGGAAGAACACTTCATGTTTGAATCACTCATGATAAGAATTCCCTGGCGCGGCAGCGAGGAAGAAGGGCCTCCGGGTTCGGCTATGAAAGCACGTTTCTCGTATAGGTTTTTTCCCGTTCGAATTTTTTGTTACTTAGCATGCGACTTGCAGATCCTACTACGAACTAGTACCGTTGCACGATGGACCAACACTGAGACAAAATGAAGAGTCCAAGAGCCCGAATGAGTCTCGATAAATTATCTCTCGGCAGGCCCCAGGGCACATTTGTATGGCAGAAACGGTCAGACTCGAGGCTTTCGTAAATCGTCGATCAGGGTCGCTCACCGCCTCATCTCCTAGTCAATGTCTGCCCCATCCACAACAACGCGTAGCCACTTTGAATCATGCCTGTCTGGAGGAGTGGGAGCGGGGAGTGTTTTCGTGCCATGATTAGTCGGATGCATCATTCGCCAGACTCCTGGACGACAGATAGGACCACCCTCGGCTCGACGTGCGGTCACGAAAGCCACTAAATAGGCAGCTCAGAGGAGAAAGATGGCCTTGGATATCGCTAGATTTGTTGAGTCCTTTCATGAAAGGGAATGCTCGTCGTTCACGCATATCTCTTAAACGTCCAACAGAATGTTTGACCGTTCAATCTCGCATCTGCAAATTCCGAAACTCGTAGAATATCCGTTCAAGTTGATACTTTGAGCGACGTTGTGTTATTGCTATCACTTTTGTGATTCTCCCGTGGTGCTTCAGGTTTCCTGTCTTTCCTGTCTAGAGCATCACAGCATCGATTTACGCAGACCTCTCATTCCAGACATGCAGTTTTGAAGGAGACCAAGACCAAGTCTTGTCTCTAGAACGTCTATCGCTGATACGTCGATGCATGTGGGCCAAACTCCTCTGACACGGGCGCGAAATCGAAGACTGCCTGCAATGTCTTCCGATGAACTTCTGGGGTCACATGGTGCGCTGCTAGGAAATGGAATCCATTTGCCAACTGACTCGGCACTGCTCCTCTAGATCTTTTACACACACTGCTGGCAGGGCCAAATGTTATTGTCGGGAAAATACAATCTTCTGATTTTAAATTTTAGAGCTTCGAAAATGCGTTATTATATGGAGTACCGAAAACCTAAATGGAGTACCAATGGTACTCCAAAAGGAAATACATTTTTGAAGGCCTAATATTTAAAATCAGAAGATTGCATTTTGGAGACAATAACAGCTGGCCCTGCCAGCAGTGACAGCTTGCCCTATGCAGGTTTTCTCAGTACCGTGGCAGGCGTGAGAAAATTGTAGGTGATCTCGGGCCAACGTCTTGAAAGTTGGCACGACTTCTTTCATTCAATAAGCCCGTGCGTATAATGAGAATGATGATCATTTTGTGAGTATTCCCAAATGCGCGTTATGACTGATGCCAGGAGTTCGCAGTTGCTCCGTGGATTGTTACCTCTCAGATCAATACAACAATGTTGGCGCAGAGGTGAAGATGATTTTTGTCACCACGAGGGGTGCTTCCAAAAAAGCATGGCTGTGGTCGGTCGATTCTTCTCTGCACCCAAGAGTCCCCTAATGATGCTTTTTATTATACGCGAGCGAGCTGGGTGCCGTGTGGAACTCATAGACTACGGGACACCCTCGAGTTCTTCCGTGGTCGATTGTCGCTAAATCTCAGATCAGGACGTGAACGCCCTGGATCAATAATAGATGAGACATGCCTCTCCGCGCCTCTGCGAGTTGCCAGAGCGAAATGACATAGGTCACCCATACCCTATTTTTTCGTACACTTCCCGGAAAACAGTCACTGATAAAAAAAAAGGTGTGGCGTCTATTGAGACCTCCCTTAAATGGTATACGTGCAGGCAACTGGGCGTAGATTCTTATCTCGACTAAATATGCCATAAACTCCATCTACAATCGCGTAATCGGCAAAGAAATAAAAGGTCACTTGAGCTGTACAACGAACAGACACTAACTATCATCATAGAAGCGGCGAATAAATAAATGGCCATTCAACTGTTCTTCAGTTCAGCTGTAACACAGATTTTATCAGTTCAAGAACAGCTGGTACACTCCTTTTCGAATGTATTCACCCGCCTGCTTTCCTCCTAGTGCTGGAGCCACGCATTGTCTCCTCTGCCATTCGATGCAGCGCCATTAGTGGCCACGTCGTTAGTGTTAACGTCTAGACACAATAGGTGAACTATACTATCGAGGAGACACGAAAAATGGGAACATACCCCTGGAGTTAACAGCAGGGACGGCGACCGCATTAATTGCAAGCGCAAAAAGAGAAAAGAGGATGACAGCGGTCTTGAACATGGTATGTTGTTTCTCTTGCGGTTTGAAGATGTGTCTTTGTCTTGACATCCTCTACTTGACCTCGAGTCTTTATAGCTCTCGCACTGTGGCTCGAATGGCTCGTGAGATCGGTAGATCAATCACATTGTTCAGCGCGGAAGCCTACGGGACTTTGAGCGGATAAGATGTGCTTAGCATTGGATTCGTTCGGGGAATATTAGATAACGCTCGAGTTCTTCCATACCCAACAGTTCGCTTCTTTAGCCCGCTACCAACTTCAATAGGATCGCTGTTCACTTTGGCAGTTTGCGAGTCGGCATCACGTCCCGCACCGAAGATGCGATGAGGTGAGGACCGAGGTGGTGTTCTTAAATCCCGCTCGATGGTTGAATCACTGATGCACTAACGAATGGGTTGGATTTACTAGGAAGCTTCAAGCCTTCACCTTAATTTCCCCAGACCTAGCTGTAGCAAGTGCATGGGAACGATGCGCCGCACGCGTTGAAGGAATTTCCAAATGGGGTGTCCGCATTGCATGAGATGAGCCGCCTACACTGGGTGCACAGCACCATACTTGCAAGCTCAAAGACACTACAAATACGGTAAAAAGTAGACTATGAAATTTTAGCCGAAGTAAGCAAACAAATCTAATGAAATTCGAGCCACCATACTTTTACACCATTTGCGTCCGCAAGCACGGTGACCTTTGACCCCTTTGACTTACCCTGCTTTTATCCTTTTTTGCAAACTGTTTGTCATTGCTAAAAATGACCTCTTTCGTGATTTTACCCAAATTTGAAAACACAAAGAAACTAATTGTTCGGTGAACACAACAAAATACTTTTATCCAAATTTTACCTGTTTTGGGCTTGCAACTACGGTGCGGTGCACCCAGTGCTAGTACTCAAAAGGAAGGATAATCCGCGCGTAGTAAACCTCCTCCATTTTCTACATCTGGTAAATATATCATATCATCCCTAGGAAGATCTGCCACTGGAAAGAAAAGCGAAACAATGATTATCTGCCTCATCATCCATCTTCGATCTACATATCATTGGCCTATGACCTTCGGCCGCTATACGTACGATAAATCTGACATAAGTACCGGTGGTCTTTGAGCTTCAGGCTTCAGCGAACAAATATCTTGGTGCCCAAATGTAGGTTCTTCACAGCCTGGAGGGGCAGTCAGACTTGATGGTGTTATCTGTGTGAAAATTGTAAGAAGGTTTCATCGTTGATCTAGGCCCTACATGCGAGGCAAAAGTGACCGCGGAGTCACTAAGACTAAAATTTGAAGACCGTACTATAAAGCATTTACGAAAGACTAGCTCCGACGCCCAGATCCTTTAGGCGAGACGTTTCGTGGAAGAGTTCATCTTCTCCGGCGCTTCTTAGTACACCGTTTGTGAAGGTATAGGTTTGAAGTTCAACATCCGTTGAGCGATCAGTAGGCTTCGTCCTGAAGTCGACGCACTCTGAGCCTGAGTAATGACACCCTTGCCCGATGTACGACATGTAGGCTGTGACAACGTGATTGTAATTGCTCTCATTTTGCTCGATCTTCGAGCGCCATTCGTGGACATGACTATCCTTATCTACGAGGATCCTCTCGTAAGCCGCTGTCCTCCTTGGCCGAAGGCTGGTATGCAGACCTTCTTGTCTCCTTGAAAGTCGCCTTCTCTCGAATGGTAGTCTGCCGCTCTTCCATCTTTTGCTCGTTTCGGGTTTTCGCCATGTCGCGCCATGCAATTCTGGAACGAAGGTTTGATATCAGCGTATATCCGCGTCGGCGATGGTCTCGGAGAGAAAGAAGGCGAGCAAGAAGATGGAAAGGATAGGATAACGGTTTGCTCAAAAAGAGAGAAGAAATGCACACCTCTTTGAAATTGTCACCTCCACCAACGAGTGGCAGCTCGGCCCCTCGAACATCTCTCCATAAACGCCCTACTGTTCTCCGTCCTCGTCTTCTTCTTTTCTAGCATCCCCTCTCGCCAATGGGTTTGTGGCCGATCATACCCTCAATTCTCTCCTCCGCCTCCATCTTGTCGTGTTTCCTCTTCTATGCGTGTCATTCGTGACGTTCAGCCTCCATTTTGCGGGCGGATGTTTGGTCGGAGGTAGTGGGTATTGCCGGGCCTATACCGCAGCCTGAGATGTTTGGTCGGCTAAGGTCTGCAGCGGAGGAGGTATCTTGTCCATAGGTTGCCGCTCTAATTTTCGCGTGGGTGGAGTGTCGTCGTCTTCGAGGCTTCTCTTGGAGGCGAAGGGCCATTTGTAGGATGTGTCTGCCGCGGCGGGTAGGGGATCTGGTGCAATGTCATCGTAGTATGTTTCTGCAGACTTTTTTTTGTCAGTCTAAGAGAGATTTATGGGACGGAATAGACGTACTATGAGCATTGAGGAGCACAGTTTACCTTAATACACCTTCAGGAGCTGGCGGAAACCACTGCCTTACAATCGGATTTCAATTTGAAGAGCAAGCAGACTGCTCACGTTCTGGCTTTGTCGTCAGAGCTCACCGAAGTACTTACTGCAAGAAGGCATTTGTTCAGGTCAAAATTTCGTCCACTTTAGAAAAAAGGATAATTGCCTTGCATTTCTCCTCTTTAACTAAAGCCTGGATTCATCGCTCTTCTGAGAATAATCCGACTGGATGATCCTGTTCTCTTTGCGGGTAGGAGAAGACGAGGATGGTCTTGATGAGGAAGAAGTCGTGTCTAGTGTGTAGCTCACGCGAGAGATAATTTGGGATGGGAGTGAGGGGAGAGGGAAGGGAGAGGCAGAGGGAAGAGGCAGACAGCGAGAGGCCAGGGGGTAGCTCGGGCCTATTGAAACATAACCGAAACATGAGGATAAGACGAAAAGGGCGAAAAACAAGGATGACACACTTTTGAAGTGCTCAAGGACATTGTCGACCAGGATCAGGTGCTCGGGAGAGAGCTTGTACTTCCACTGTTCGGACGCGTCCGTCCAATCCTCGCTGATGGTTGAGATGGGTTTTGAATTTCCTGGTGACTCTGGGCAGTTTCTTTGAACGGGGCCGGGATCTTGAGCGACACGCAGGACTATCAGGCACAGCGAGGAGGGTTGCAACAGCAGCCCCGCCATTCCAAGAGGTTTCCTCTGTGGAGTCTGGACCATGAGACCAAAATGACCAGATGGTCATCACGTGATGAAAGAAGTGTTCCGCGTCTGCCGGGCAACAACTTTCTGAGATGTCTTCGCCTACTGATCTTCAGGATCTGCAGCTACTTCACACCCACTTGTGGGGTCGAGATAGAGTCGAAGTCCACAGTGACATAGCTGGAAAGAGATGGTCTACTATCAACCTCACGCTTTTCCGCCTCGAACTAATTCCCCGTCCTGAGGACCTCCTCGTCCGCGAGGAGTACGTCCATGCTTACGACACCATTTTCATGGATACGGAGAGACAGCCGCCGGGACATCGATCTGCCTTCCTAGTCACAGGTCAACCAGGAATTGGTACTATGCCATTCCGGGAGTTTTGAAAGTTCCAGGAGTTTGAAATTCCCGTCTCGCGCCTCCGTTTTTTGTGCTCTTAGCTTCTAATTTTTTCTATATGCTTCCGAGGCAATTCATGACAACCCTTCAAAAATTTGTAGGATCCCGTTCACTCTGAGGGCCACTGGATTTAAAACAGTGGTTTTGATGTCATCAAAATGGCCCATGTATGCGAATGTCAGCCCAGATCCTGCCCGATCCCGATGTCCAACGCTTCTGAAATTCTGTCAACACGTTTAAGGCGTACATTGGATGTCTTTCATAAAATTTTAGAGAGAATAAATAGCTCGTCATGAAGGAAAGTGCAGAATACATGATCCCACCTCCGGGAGTGTGACTATTTTGGCAGGAGGATCGGTTGTCAACGCCGTCGATTTGGCCGTTGATGGGTGTGATGGACGTGTGACATACTTTTCAAACTCCCAGAATCCTCGACACCCCACCGTTGTGAGTGCTCCGGTGTACCTTCCCCCGTGCTTAAAAATCAAATAAAAATATTTCCATGAAGCGAAGACGATTTATGACAAGTGTGCCAGATTTGATGTTGTAGAGGTAAGCCGTTGTTGAGCAATATGTTCGTCATTCAAAAAGTTTCAAACTCCCGGGATGGCATAGTACGTTGAATGTAGGAACTCGAAATATCGGCTAATCCAGCACGATAGGGAAAACCCTGTTCTTGTTATACATTTTGGCCCGTCGACTCCAGGAGAAAGAACCGGTCGCTCTCCAGATCAATTCTCATCAATATGCCCTCTTCGACGAGCACGGTGTAAGTTTACATTCATCGGAAACTGGCCGTGTTCCAACAGGCGCCTGGGCGCTGTCCTCTGGTGAACATCAAGGGCTTTGTGGCGCCTTCCAAAAGCCATTTGCCCATGTCATACATACGAGCTCGCCGGCGTCTTCTCGTTGGAGGGATTGGGTAAAGCGCCTCGGTGCTATCAAGTACATCATGGACGTGTGGTCGCCGGAGGAGTTGCGAACGTTGCTGTACGTGGTATGATCTACACTGTTATGCCACTGACACGCTGGTGCTAGCATTATGTTCAAACTCGATGTGCTGCAGGGTAAGGCCCTCTTCGATAAATATGGGCCAAGCCCCAGGATTATCATCGACATTCTCCGAAAAAGAACGCCGGAAGAAGGTTACGTTCAGGATATCAAAACAGCAGCCGCCACACTTGCGCACCACTTCTTGGTAATGTTTCTCAATATCGAAAGCCTTGATTTCAGTGGCGATGTTTCGTCCAAGATATTCACTGTCAGACCCAAAAAACACGATCGGCGACTGGCTGCTCTGTCCATCCCGACGCCGCTTATCGCCAGTGCCCTCGGGGTAGCTCTTTCTTCTCAGGACGAAGCCACACAACACACCTTCTTCAGCATGCTCAAAGGACATCCATCTCTTCGCGGTGCCGCCAGATGGCTCTTCGAGAGTTACGCCCATGTATACTTCTCTAACCTAACTCGTGGCACCCTTAAAGCGTATTGCGCCGATCCAAAATTAGCCTCGCTCTCCATCCCTTACACCGCCGGGATGATAGCAGGCTCGACCGTGCTGAACAAAATCCAGCCACCCCACAATTTCTATTGGCGACCTCGAGAAACCAACTACTCCGGTGTTGACGCTGTAATTCGTGTTGACAACGATGTTTACGCCCTGCAGTTTACGATAAGCAGCGCTCATAGGTCTGCGACAGACGGCCTCAAGAAGGTTCACAAGGATATGAATCACATATCAGGCGTCACATGGCACTTGGTTATGGTAGGGTTAGAACAGTGCAATGCAGAATCTGCCCGCGATAGCCAGAAGTTGACAGATGGTTGGGAGGTAACGCGGGTTTACGCGTGTGAGCTGCCGCTTGTTAAGCTCACAGAACAGGTTCAAGAGAAGCTTCAGAATGTTTTCGACGAGGTGAGTGAACAATGGTCGCTGCGTTATTGTACTGAAAATTTGGGGTATCTGCAGTCCAGCAATGATTATCCAAGAGCGAACTCAGATATGGCAATGGTCTAGGTGTTGTCATTGGTTCTGTTTCCGTCCACTCCAGCTTTCTCTTCCCCCACCCGCCACTTTCAGCATGTCTACTCTCGCTCTCTTACCACAAACCAACATAGACTCTAGAAGATAGAGAAAAACCAAGGCAAACAAGAAGACTCGGATATCTAGCCATAGAAGTGGCCCGGAGTTTTTATTCGTTCGGTAGATTTGGGACTACACTACCAGCACGTCAGTCCACGCTGCCGCAGGGTCAGGACAATGGCTGAATACAGCGACAGAACCTGCTTTCAGGGAGAACCTACTTTCAGGGCAAACCTGCTTTCAGGGCAAACCGTGTGCCGTCCAACAGCACCGATACTACACCCTCTCCACCATCTAGTCATGCACTCGTCCGAGCAAATTACACATCTGCGCAATCTTTCCACCACTCCATCGCTGACCCTGCCCGAGCGAACTAGCCCTCATGCAGGATACCTCCGTCCCAAATTCCGGCTATGCCTCCGTGGAGGAAGACGAAAATAACGACTTCGGAACCCATTCCGACACGGAGGTGCTTCGGGCAGACCACGCATTCACGGGTGGCGGGCTATGTCGCGCGGTCTGACGTTCGGGTTGCCTGCGACGCCGAATCCAAAGCGCTTAGTGCCATCCTCGAAGACACAGTCAACCTGTTCTCGGCTTTCACAAGCAGCGAGGAACTTTCACACACGCCCTGCACGTCGGGAGATGTCAATGGAATTCACGTCGGGCTCAACGATGCGGCGCTGCCCAAGGACGACCACACCTGCCCGGATTACAGAGCTTGGGCAGCGCCATCCTCTTCGTAACCCAGATACATTTCCCATCCTACCAAACACCCAGCAGAACATTACGAATCCTGAAGGCCTGAAGGCCTGAAGCTTAGGGCTGGGACGGGCATGCCTCGCATCGTCGCCGCGAAGAACCCCACCACCACTATCTCCTCCGCACATGCCTCTGAGATCATCGCGACTACCCAACATCCTCGCCAACCTCGCCAAAAATACCACAACTAACTTCCCATCAACCCCGTCAAAATGTACATCGACGTCGAAGGTCTCGAGTGGGAATGGCCTTCGCCCTTTTTACGAGACATCCTGACCGTGGACGTGATCTGCCACCCGTGCCACGTACCGAGAGGCTCTTTCGACACCCGACGGCGAAGGGATTTTTGGAGGAGCATGTGAATGAGGATGTGGACGAGGATAGGACGAGGGCGGTGTGTTCTGGCTTGATAATGCCCGTTCGGATGAAGGGTCAGCGCCAGGGTATGACGAGGACAGTCGATGCACTTGTTTCCTGATGTATCCGGGGTAGGATGCTCAGAGGGACGCCCAGTTGGAGTGGGTGGGAAGTGAGCGAGGGCCGAGTTTGGCAGTGCTCCATCGTGAGGATGTGGGGCGACAGGGTAGTTTTGGGAAAGCGGACGAAGATGGGTGGAGGGCTGGTTGTCGAAGTAGTGCTCGCCCTGTCAGTACCGTGTTCAATGCCAATGAGGATGTCCTTGATCACTGCACTACAGGCGTGCCCAGGGCGAGGGAAAATGAGGGTAAGGAATTGTTAGATGATGTCGGCGGTCGTGTCGGCTTGTGTTCCGACCACTTATCGTATATCACCGACGAACCGAGAGGGACGGGCTTCAGTTGTGTGGGTAGGTCGTCTCTTGCAGGCTAGACGGCGAATTCGGGTGATGAGGGGCATCGATGCAGTTGCCCAAGAGAATACGAAGTTGGAGAGTATGCCGACGACGTGCTGGGACGAGAGTTGGAGGCAACTGGGCAATGGGAAAGGGAACTACGGCGCACAAGAAGGAATGGTATTGTCGGAAAGCGGACTTGCTGTTGCAGGCTGAGCTACGAATCCATCGTTGAATTTACTCTGCCTTCTAAACCCATTCATGGAAGAGATGGAGCGTCCGAGTGACGTCCAGCGCCCGCCTTCCTGTTGAGGGCTGATTCGAACCGTCTGTGTATCCATTATCTTCCGTAGGATGCGAAACTGTGGTGGCAAATTCAAGTTTGAACTTTTGTACTGGCCTCCTGAACCTCGGTTGGTGGCGTTGATTGAGAGTTTGTAGAGGGTGGACAAGAAGAGGGCTCAACTGTTGAAGGAGTGCTAGCCCTTTCAGCGCCGTTACCAACTTCGCTAAGGATGTTCTCTATCGCAGCAAGATCACAATAACCTCACGTAGAGGGCCAGATAGGAAGAGGAGAAGGAAGGGGCATTGGATAGTGTTGATGATCATGAGGTCTTGGCGTCTGTCGGTGTACCCAGTCAGGCTGAAGGGCCGTCGTCTGCCTGCAGGAGCCGAAGCCAGCAATTGGCATGAGGCAAGCAAATCTTGAAATTGGCGAAGGTCGACATAGACGGTAGGCGAAAAACATCTTTCGCTTCCTTTGCAAGAATGCCGTCGCCCTCTCATCCATGGCAATCTGCCGCTCTTCCATCTTCTGCTCGTATCGGGTTTTCGCCATGTCGCACTGTGCAATTCTGGAACGAAGATTTGACATCAGCATACATCCGCATCGGCCACGGTCTTGGACAGAAAGAGGCGGGGAAGGAGGCGGAAATGATAGGATAAAGGCCTATTAGAAGGGAAAAATGAGAGGATACGTACTAGACCTCGAGGCTGTCCCTTCCGGCAAGAAGGTTCGATTCGTCTATTTCTAACCCTTCGTCCCATCGTCCCACAAACGCCCTATCGTTATCCGGTCTCTTCTTCTCCAGCACGCCCTCTCGCCTGACAGGCTTGGGACCAATCATATCCTCGATCCTCTCTCTCGCCCTCATCCTGTCACGTTTCCTCATCTATACGTGTTGGCCTTCGCGGCGGGCGAGTGTTAATCATATCCTCGATCCTCTCTCTCGCCCTCATCCTGTCACGTTTCCTCATCTATACGTGTTGGCCTTCGCGGCGGGCGAGTGTTAGGGAGGGGTGGTGGATATTGCTGGGCCCGTGGTGTGGCCTGGGACGCTTGGTCGGCTGGGGCCTGCAGCGGAGGAGGTCTCTTGTCATAGGCTGCTGCTCCACCTTCTGCGCAGGCGGGGCGGAGGGCGTCATTGTCTTCGCACTTTCTCTTGAAGGTGGAGGACGATTTTGTTGCGGCGGGTAGGGAGTCTGGTGCTTCCATAGCATGTTTCTGCAAACTTTGTCAGTCTAAGAAAAATTCTATACGATGGAGCAGACGTACTCGGGTTCCGGGCCTAGAAAAATGGTGCTGGGATAGAAGCAGCGCAGTTGCTTGCCTCAATACACATTCATGAACTGGCAGAAATAACTGTATTGCGATCAGATTTCAACTTGAAGAGCGAGCTGGCAGCTTCTGGATCATCGCCAGAGATCGTTGAAGTACTGCAAGAAGGTATTTGTTCAGGTCAGAATTTCGTCCGCTTTCAGAATGCTAATCACCTTGCATTCTCCACTCTCAACCACAGCCTGAATTCATCGTTCTTCTGGGGATAATCCGACTGGATGATGGTGTTCTCTTTGCGAGTTTAGGAGGAGACGGGGCTGGTCTTGACGACGAAGAAGCCGCGTCCAGCGTGTAGCTCGCACGAGAGGGGAGGGCGGGAAGAGGGAAGGGAGAGGAAGAGGGAGAAGGAGAGAGATAGCGCGGAGGCGTGCATGCAGGCCTATATAGACGTAACTGAAACGTGAGGATAAGACGAAAGGAGGACGACATACCTTTAAAGTGCTCAAGGACATCGTCGACGTCCTTCAGGTGCTCAGGAGAGGCCTTTTAGAAGCTCATGGCCATTTCGGATGACTCTGAGCGGTGTCTTCCTCAGCGAGACCGGAATCTTCAGAGAGAGCGACACCATGGAAATTTGCGTAGAAGCTCGAGACGCGCAGTGGTGGTGGTAGAGGCAAGGAGCACAAGTTGAACGCTGACGTCATTTGGCAAGGCGCATGAATGCAAGTCTTTTCTTTCTTATCCAACTCAATGACCCGCCTGCCGTTCATTCCTGCTTACTCTTACTCCCCCACCCAAGTAACGCTTCCACGATGCCTTCTCTCGCCCTCCAGGTTTGTTTACTGAAAGACCCTTGGCCTGAACCCTTATAGACTCTAGAAATTTCGGAAAAACAAAGACGACCTAGGAGAAGGTACCCAGCCATAGAAGGGCCTCGGACTCGGAAGTCGATTCATTTTTTGGACTACACTACCAGCAAGTCAATCTACACTATCGCAAGCTCAATACAATGGTTGAACACAGCGACAAAACCAACGAGACCGACACTCTGCCTCCTCTCGGTCGTGTAGCCACACCTTCGACGGAGCAAACTAGATTGGTTCTCCACAACCTTCGCAATCTTTATCCCTTTCCGACTCTTCCTCCCTCTCTGGCCAAATGGACGATCCAGCACCTCGTCCACGATACCTCCGCCCCAGATTCCGGTTATGCCTCCGCTGAGGAAGACGAAGACGAAGACTTCAACACCACCCCGAGACATGGAAACCGACCCCTCCGGGCTGATCCTCTCGAACGTGTATTAGCTATCAAGTGGACGGGGTTCGTCCCCCGGTCCGATGTTTGGGTCACCTGCGACGCCAACGATGAGTCCGAAGAGCGTGGTGCCATCCTCGAAGACGCGGTCACCTTGCCCTCTGCCTTCATCGGCGGCGAAGAACAAGAAGACGTGTCCCTTACGCGGACCTTCATATTCCCTTGCACGTCGGGAAGCCACCAGAAAATCCGCGTTTAGCAGCGATGTGCCATCATCCAAGGACGACCACCTCTCCGTCGGACTGCAGAGCTAAGGTAGCGCCATCCTCTTCGCAGAACGGATGGTTCTGAGTGATGGTCGCGTCGGACTGCCGGTCGAGCAGAAGAGGGGGTTGTAGGGGCCGCTTCTTTCATGGACGGGCAAACATGAGGGCCTTCTCTTCCCCTGATTTTCTGAAGTTACATAGTTTTCTTCAATTCTGTGATGACGGACTCACTTACAAGTTCAATGCAAGACTTGTTTCAGACAATGAACGAAGACTCTACGCTCCTCGTGGCTTCAGACGTGGTGCACACCACCTGACAGGAGGAGTCCTACTCTCCAAGGCTGCATATACCAGTGCGATCTTCCCGTCAAACTGTGGCGCGAGTGACTCGACATCGTCAATCCTGTCTCTAGGACGCCCCCCATTCATGTTGGCGTCGTACTTCACAACGAAATGCTATAACGAAGGCAGCCACTTCGGATTATTTGCATGCGCGACCCATTTACCTAGGTCTTCTTCTAACATGACCCTCGACATCGTGCACCGGAATTCCAGCCTCTCCAGAGAGCGAGGAAGGTACGAGTGCAATGCACAAGTCTTTCAGTACATGGCACCTCCTCAGCTTCATCTGCAAGTTTCGTGGCGTGAAGTCATTCTAGAGATCGCATCCAATCGTGCTTTGCAAATGTAAGACCTCTAATCGACCAAGAAGGCCAGGAATCTCCTTCATCGCGAACAAAAACATATCGATAGCGTTGTTCTCCTCGATCTCCAGCCTCTTTAAGTTTTGAAACCCACCTGAGCTCGTCCAGTGGATCGCATGCGAGCAGCCCAAGTCAATGCTCTCTGCCTGCGCCGTGATCAAGGCCGGCCACTCCTCAAACGAGCACACGCTGCCCATCCTGAAGGTGCGCAGAGCCGTCCATAGGTGCTTGAACTTGTCCAACGGACTGAGGTCGATCGACTCGTCGACGTTCGCCTGGACCTCTAGATGTATGGGTGACAACCCATCGACGGCGGGCCATTGTTCTTCCCGAGGTGCGCTGAAACATACAGTGTCGATGCGCTCCGATGGGTCCTTCGTCGTGTCTTCTTGGGTTATATGCTGTAGATGGGAGGTAGAGTGGCTTGGTCCTCATCGGAGACGTATCCCTGCAAATCGAGCTTGAGGACGCGAGTTCCGCTTGTGGGGAAGGATCGGATGGGTCAAAGGGAACTGTGCGCTGGGGTACCCGGACAAAGACATACATTGGATCAAGGGTGCCGAACGACACTGAAGCCCTCAACATCTGGTTGACCAATCGGAGGATTCCTACTTCGTTGCATTAAGTAGCCTTCTCTTTTTTTCTTTTTTTCTTTTTTTTTCTGATAAGTGTCGATAGACGAGGCAATGGCGCCTCTGAACGATGGGCGAAATGGTGATGAGAAAAAAAGAGAAGGAGGCGACAAGAATGAGAGACGGGGGCCTTGAGATGGGGGCGAGAACTGGATGAAATTGCACAAAAACACGAAATATAGCTTTTATACTACAAAGAAAGAGGAGTCCGGTAGAAAATCTCTGAAACAGGAGACGAGGAGGAGTTGCGTCGGCGGTCTTATCATGCACCCACGCTCGCTAAGCATTTTACCTACTCTTTCTCTGGCGAACCCCTTTACTATGTTTTATTTTGCCCTACTAACCACATCTTCCTTCAAAGTGGGGCAGGGTCTAATCCTGGTGCACGGACTACAACTTGTTTATTTGTTTTGGCTACGTGGTTTCCATATAAGTAGAAGCCGCCATGAGATTGATGGCAGTGCGCCACACAAATGTCTCCTTTCGGACATCGAACACCACATTCTCTTTCTTTCTCTCCTTCTTTCATCTTCCCCTGTTTCTCAGAGTCGACTCCTCACTTAATCACGCATTGATCCTGTTCTATCGCGTTCCCTTCTGAGTGTTTCCTCGACATCAGGTTTCCAGTCTGTGTATACGAAGTCAAGCCAGCAAGTGAGGAGTGGTAGACGACGTATAGAACAGTATATGAGCCGTTCGAGTCCTGCGAGGCATAATTCTGAAATGGGTTTTGTAGTTATGGGCAGGAGCAAACGAGTCAACAAATCACGGATACGGTCACGGCCACAATCACTATCACGATGAGGATGACGACCACGGCCAAGTCATGAGCAGGAAGAGGGAGAAGTACGAAGTCCTGAGTGAGTGGGCAGAAGTCAAAACATCAGCCTGGGCTGGATGATATGATAAGCGACAAAGACCTTAGCGATGCACCGCAACCCGGAATCAAGCGGTGGAGGTTGCGATGACCTGGTTGTACTTGAGCTTCTCGTCCTCGACGTGGACGAAGTTGGCAGGCCAGACCGCGCGGTCAATAAGGTTGCGGCTGCGGGCAACACCGCGCCTGGTCAGGGCAACGGTACCGGGGACGCTGGGGACGTTGATGGGGATGAGGGGGTTGGTGTAGCGCCATCCCAGCAAGCTGAAAATATGATTGTCGTCGATCACGATGTCGCCCTCTGCGTTGGGGTCACTCAAGACCATGACAGCCTCGCCGGAGACAAAAAAGGCCTTGCGAAGCCATGCAGCCGTGGCCTGAGCGCTGGAGAAACGACAAAGAGCGCAAAAAAAAAGACGAAGAAGAAAGTCAGGGGATGGATGGCTGAGGAGATGGCAGAAAGAGGATGCACATGAAATCACGACAACCCAGATAGGCAAACCCGATCTTCCGGAAGAAGAAGGGTAACATGTTGCGATCGATAAGGGCCTTGAGAAGCTGGCCGAAAGTGGTGCCGGGGGCGAGGGCGAGTTCGAAGACGACGACGACGGAACGGGAGGGCTCCGTACGACTGCGGACCTTTATGTTGAAGTCGCCAGGATGGGGAGCACCCTCGGTGGGCTGCTGGAAAAGGAGGCCATCACTAGATGTGATGTCGGGCAGCTTGCCCACGCTCTCGACGTCGCTCACACCAGCCGACTGCGAGTCGTGCGAGTCGTGACTGCCCTCGCCAGTAGCAGGAACAAGCGGGAGAGCAGCCGGAAAGCCGTCGTCGCTGCTGGGAGCGGGGGGCTTGCTGAAGCTGCCGACAGGGCTGTAGACCATGTCCGAGCCGGTGTCAGGGTCAGAGCGGTTGCTCCTGGCGTATTGGCCCTCGTTGGAGCCGATGCTGACGGAACGCTTAATATCCATGCCGAACTTGACCTGGCCGAGGTCGTCCCGACCGTCTTGACCAAAGTCGAGGTGCGCACGGAAGGTCCAGTGGTTTTTGATGAGGCCGCAATCGGTAGCCTCATGGTCCTCGAGAGCGGTGCCAACCTTGGCGCCCGCATTGACGACGTCGACAAAGAGCACGCCATTTTCGATAACTTTGTCCTTGATAAAGCCGGGGACGGTGTCAGGCGTGTAATCGGCGTCCACCTGTGTGCAATGACAAGAGGAAGTGTGACGTCGGTGGAGAATGTCGGTAGGGAAGTGGCGGAGAGGAAGGAGAAGACAAACAGCGCATGGGCATGGAGCTACAAGACTGAAAAAAAAAAACTTACCACAGACGTAGAGAGGGGGAGGGAGACATCAATGTCGGCGGGGATGGAGACGGACATGGTCTAGGAGTACAACAAGCGAGACGGTGAGTATGAAGTAGAAGCAAAAGAAGAAAGCGACAAGATGTACTGTGGTTGACTGGAGGCGAGTAAGCGGTGGATACAAGAGCTTTGAGAGACGAGGTTGCTGATGGGGTACCCAGTCTGCCCACAGTTCTCTGACGTAACATGACGGGTCCCGTCAAAATAGATAAGCTATTTATAGTGTCGAAGGTCAAGGGAAACTGGGAGCTCTCACAATCGAGCTAAATATATTGAACCTCATACTTATGTCGGGGCTACGCTCTCCTCGTGGAAGGAGAGAAAAAGAGCAGACGAGATCAGGGAGGCTCAAGGATGATGGCGCGCAATGATGGGCTACGGGAAAATGATTGAGCCATTTTGAGCGCCAAATCGCTTCGGTGAGGCGCCCATCAAAAGTACAAGGGGAAACGGCGATGCCATAAATAAAATAGAAACATTAGAAAATTAGTGCTTGGACCCAGACTCGAACCAAAGATGTCCAGAGGCGAAGTATAGATAGACCATGATTTTGGCACTGCGCTGCCCATCCGATGACAGCGAAATCCGTAAAAGGGCTCTATCAGACGTAGAATAGGGAAATAAAGCTATTTTTACCTCGTTCAGCCAACGCAGGCGCAGGAGATCCTCACGTTTATCATCGCTGAGGCGGACTCATTACCTTCTCATGCAAATTTCATGAGACTACCGGTTGCATGTCTTATATTTGAAGAGGGGCTCAGGACCATGGCATCAGCACTCGAGCAGCAGCCTAGCGGAGATTTAATTGCATCTCTTCCCGGCCGACACGGCTGTCGTTTGTCATGGGCATTTCCGCAATGAGACAGGGAAGCTGTCAAAAAACTGAGGGCAGACTTGTTACTCCGCCCCAAGAGAAATATTAGCAGAAGCGAGTAGAGTCCGTTACAGCTAAATGCAAAACGATAGAGCTCCGAGCATTTCGCCTAGCGTTCTTGCTCAGCGGGTCTATTTGGACTTTGATGGGCTAGAACACCTGTTAACCATTTCCTACCACTTCGCAACCACTCCAATGCCCGTAGAGCAGGGGGTTCTGGCATAAAATACAAGATTTGTTGCCTTCTAGGTTTTGTATAGCGTCTCCATAGTTTCAAAGCAAGGAAAGTTGGGCACCAGGAGGGCGCCAGCATGGTCATTATTGGCGGAGGTTGGGAGGCGCCGAGGCAGGACCTTCGGCATGGTCGGCGAGGTCATAGGCACAGTTTGGTGTAAACAACTTGCTGAAGAAGAACGTTCGGAGCGGAGAAATGGTCTATCGTTTTGCATTCAGCTGTAAACGCCGAACGGGATCAAGCTTACACTCATTCATCTCTGCTCTCTCTTGCGTTCCCCTCGCTCTCGACCAAGTCTACCACCTGTACGCAAGAAGCCCTTTGGTTGACGTTGTCTTCGCACTCGCCATCGTTATTGTTGCATTTGCTTAAGTTAGTAACCCGCCCTTGCTCCACTTGTTTTAACCGTGACTGACACAATCCTCTGTCTCGTCAGTAGCTACCACCATGTCCTCCAAAGTCAAGGTCTTCGTTAACGATGAAGGCAAGCCAGCGAACATTCCGGACTACGAGACGATCATCACGCAGTCTTCCAACCTGCGTCGCCGCCAGGCTACCGCCACCAACATCAACGGTGTGCGAATCGCTCTCGACAAGATGTCTGATCTCGACGTCAGCAATATCTGGGTCAAGTTTGGGCGCACCATAACCATGGGCGAGGCCAATACGCAGCGCTTTGTCGCGCAATACCTTCAAGCCAATAACATCCCTGCCGTGCGTGCCCCTCGCGTTTACCTCGCCTTCACGTGGGGCGTCTTCGGTTACATCGTCACCGAGTATATCGACGGGCAGACATGCGACAACTCCGATATTACCCTCGTCGCAGCCGCCGTGCAGGCCCTGATCAACATCCCGAGCCCCAGTTTGACGCCTGGACCCGTGGGAGGAGGCCTGATCGAGCACCCCTTTTTCTACGACCGGAAGTCCTCCATCCAGTACGAATCCGTCGAGGAGCTACAGGATCATGTGAACGGGGTGAGTGTTCTCTTTTGTCTCGTCCTGTCCCTTGGCTACCCTCCTGATGATACCTCTTAATACAGATTCTCTTCGAGACGGGGAGGACGAGGCGTGTTAGCTTCACCGACGAGCTCGCCAGTCACGGCCTGCTCCTCTGCGTATCTGACCTGAAACCTGTCAACTTCATGAAGGATAGGGAGAATAGGATCGTTGCCGTGGATTTTGGCGGCTACTCCTTCCTGCCGCCCTCCTTCTTCGCCTTCGCGCTGAAACACGGAGGCTGTTCAGATTTCGCACACCGCATCGCCAGCATGCTCGAGTATCCACCATCACCATCTGCACATGTTGCGGCAATGGTGAGCGCCTCCTGCGCGCTGGCCCCATATTCAAGCAATGATATCGGTGAGCAGAACTCCTTGCTCTCTTTTCTTTTCCTTGCCTCTCGTCCCCTTACAAGAACACCGAGCTCACTGTACTGCACAGGCGTTCCGGAGAGACTCCAGTCCAGGCTTCAATCAGTACACGCTGCGCACACGCGGTCCATCGCTTAACAGGACTGCGTTCTCCCTTCTCGTTCTTTATCTGCGCACTGTTGCGACTTGTCGATTCTCCCGAGGGACGTTGCTTTGCATATTTGCGCCGCCTCTTACCCAATGTATCTACAGCTTGAGGAATATCAGAGAAAAGGGATTGCACGAGCTCTTGTCAACCTCGCCCGAGAGAAGACTGGTCTTTTGCGGGCTGATAATGTCAGCGCTAACTTTATCTGACTCTGCAGCTTTCTGGCGAAATCCTGCAGGTGCCAGTTTATGTCGCGCTGGGCTACACCCACAGAGGAAGAGAGATTATACTGTCTCCTTGGGATGATCGGCCTGCCACATTTTTCTCTGGAGACAAGCAAGGCGTGGCGCTTAGAGAAGTTATAGATGTATGATCTGAAGAGCTATCTTTCAGCATTCAGGTGGGGCTTGATAAACCAGTTCCATCCAGAAGAATCTCGATAGGATCAAGTGCGTTAACAGGAAGACGGTGCTCACAACTGACCCCCAAGTAGGCACCGGACATCTATTATCTTCTCAACCTCCGATACTCCTTTCGGTACGTTAGATCCCAGAAGTTGTATTTTTCCGACTTGCTACTTCTTATGAAAAATGCGAACTGATGAAAATTTGTCTTCCACAGGTTTATCAACGATTTCGAGATGCTTATCAACACATTGGTGTGTCCTTTGTAACGCCTACGACTGACAGCACCCTCGTAGGCCTGTCAACTACATCTTGACGCGACACCAAAACGTCACGCACGTCTACTAAGACACAAATCGATCAGACCGATACACGGAGGGCACTCTCGGTACACCAACGAGTACATTCACAAATCAACAAGTACATCCACAAATCCCTGAAATCCCTTCTTTTGGTTCATGCCTTCAATGAGAGAGAATGTAGAGTCTCTAATGCTACTCAACTATGGCGAATACGACGAGGATAGAGGTGCGTTTTGTGGTTCTAAATCGTTTACTTCTGCTCTACTGAAATGCTGCCTTGCCTAGTCTCTTATGCACCCTCGCAGCTCAAACAGCAAGCCATTGGCTCTTCTACCTCTTGCTCTAATTCTCTTCTTCATCATTGACACTGCGGCCTCCTCGCAATCGCAAAGATGCTTCTCAACGTCTGGATCACTTCGACGTTCCAAAACAAAAACGAGATGGAGTTCAGAAATCCGTATTTTGGCCTCGACGAACTTTACGCACAACATAGATTCCAATCCTCGGTTTACCCCAAAATTGTCAACGAACCCAAGCTGGCGGCGCAAATCAGTTCTGCTGAACCCGACAAGGTGTTTCCAGTGGATTTGCATCAGTGGTTGAGTGACTTCGGGCGGCTTTCGCCTCCTGACCGCCGTTTGCAAGTCTCGAAGGATGTAGGTTGTTTCAAAAAAAACTTATGGGACTCGGCCTCATTCCTTCTCTCCACCAGATCCACACCATCATACAGCACAACGTTCTGGATTACGGGATGGAAAAATGTGCTATCGCTATTCGCCTACCCGCCCGCGGTGACAGCTTACCTCACCCATACACGTTGCCACCCGCTGGCGACACCGTACGACTTAGCATCTGCGAACTCGATGCCAAGCGGCCGCTGAAGGAGCGCACACTCTCCTGGTCACAGCGCCCACCCTGCGTTCGACAGCTTGCTCCCGTCGACGCGAAGATCGGAGGAGAGATTGAACTGGAACCGTTCGCCTGCAAGTCGGGTTCTTATCTGACGTATCAGATCTCCTGCGCTGAAGACTCGCCTGGGTGTAATGTGGATGTTTGGATGAATCACAACCAGACCTGGGGTACGCATACTTTTTAATCCTTTGTTGTTTGCTCTCTGAGGAATGTTTGTCCGACAGGAGTCTTCATCAATCAGTACCAAACTTTGTAGCCAACGGCCCTCTGAGCCTGTCGGTGGCTTCACAGTAGTGGCTCGGGTTCTATTTTCCTTGTAGGTATGAAGACGAATGCAATGTGTTGGTCTAAAACTGCTCTTGACGATATTCTCAACCGAGACTCAGAGTTCAATCATTTCCCGATACCTTCCAGATACCCTAACCTCCGGAAGAACGCTTCATGTTCGAATCATTCATAATAAGAATTCCCTAGCGCGGCAGCGAGCAAGAGGGGCCTCCGGGTTCAGCTATGAAAGCAAGTTTCTCGTACAGGTTTTTTTTCCCCGTTTGAACTTCTTGTTACTCAGCATGCGACAGACTACGAACTACCTTCCGTTGCACGATGAACCAACACGACGAAACCAAGAGTCCAAGAGCCGGAATGAGTCCAGATAAATTATATCTCGGCAGGCCCCAGGGCGCATTCGTCTGGCAGAAACGGTCAGACTCAAGGCTTTCGTAAATTGTCGATCAGGGGCGCAGACCGCCCATCTCCTAGTCAATAGCTGTCCCATCCACAACAACGCGTAGCCACTTTGAATCATGCTTGTCTGGATGAATGGGAGCGGGGAGTATTTTCGTGCCATGGTTAGTCGGATGCATCATTCGCCAGACTCCTGGACCACAGATAGGACCACCCTAGACTCGACGTGCGGTCACAACGGCCACTCAATAGGCAGCCCAGAGGAGAGAGATGGCCTTGGATATCGCTAAATTTTTTGTTGAGTCCTTCTTTCTTGAAAGGGAATGCTCGTCGTTTACGCATATCTCTCATACGTCCAGCAGAATGTTTGACCGTTCAATCTCGCATCTGCAGATTCCGAAACTCGTAGAATATCCGTTCAAGTTGATACTTTGAGCGACGTTGTGTTATTGCTATCACTTCTGTAATTCTCCCGTGGTGCTTCAGGTTTCTGTCTAGGGCATCCCAGCATCGATCTACGGAGACCTCTCATTCCAGACATGCAGTTTTGAAGGAGACCAAGACCAAGTCTTATCTCTAGAACGTCTATCGCTGATCGGTCGATGCATGTGGGCCAAACTCCTCTGACATGGGCGCGAAATCGAAGATTGCCTTGCTGCTATGTCTTCTGACGAGCTTCTGGAGTCACATGGTGCGCTACTAGGAAATGGAATCCTTTTGCCAATCGGCTCAGCATTGCTCCTCTAAATATTTTACACAGCTCGCCCTATGCAGGTTTTCTCAGTACCGTGGCAGGCGCGAGAAAATTGTAGGTGATCTCGGGCCAACATCTTGAAAGTTGGCAGACGACTTCTTTCATTCAATAAGCCTTTTCCCAAGCTGTCTACCGTGCTTATAGTGCGAATGATCATCAAGAACTATTAACGAAGATCGATACGACCTGATCGTTTTGTGAGTATACCGTTCCAAATGCGTGTTATGACTGACGCCAGGAGTTCGCAGTTGCTCTGTGGATTGTTATCTCTCAGATGAATACAACAACATTAATCAATGTAACTGTTGGCGCAAAGGTGAAGATGATTTTTGTCACCACGAAGGGTGCTTCCGGAAAAACATGGCTGTGGTCGGCCGATTCTTCTCTTCGCCCAAGAATCCCCTAATGACGCTTACTTATTATACGCGAGTGAGCTGAGCGCTGTGTAGGGCTCACAGACTACCTACGGGAACCCTCTTTCTTCCGTGCACCTTTTTTGTCAGTAACTGTTTACGGAAACCGTACGAAAGGATTAGGGGTCCTATTTCATTTCGCTCTGGCCACTCGCAGAGGCGCGGAGAGGCGTATCCAGTTGCGATTCCCAATATACATCCCTCGCACTGTGGGTTGAACGGCCCGTGATATCCGTAGATCGACCGTGGTGTTCAGCGCAGCAAGCGGGAGTTTGGGTGGATAAGAAGTTCTTAGGCTCTTAGCCATTGGGTTTCTTCGAGGAATTTTAGATAAGTAGCCCTCGGTGAGAAGCGAACTGCCGTGGGATTCTTCCTCCGCTATCCACTGAAATAGGGCGACTGCTTGCGGTGCCAGTGTGCGAGTTAGCATCAAATTCTGTGCTGAAGACGCAATACTTAAAGCTGTATTCCGCTTGATTTCACTGATGCACGGGTAAACGATGAATCGTATCTCCTCTGAATATTCTGCGGCGGTTCTCTCTTCATTTTCCACAAGAATCTCACTTGGACGGTACGATGCGCCGCACATATTCAAGAATTTCCGAATTTGGCATTATCCGAATCGGGCCTCGTGGCTCATGGCGATCCGGAGGGAGTTCGACAGCGCACCGAAGGAAATCTCGTTCACGCCATTGTCTAGAGTGCACATGGTAATCAAGTATCATGTCGCCCTGTAGGAAGACCTGCCACTGCAAACGACACCGAAACAATGATTATCTCGGTGGCTCATAGCGTCGAATGTACTTGTTTCGACCCATCATTGGTGTGTCGCACGGCTATTATAATGGCCGAATCATCCGTCCTACTCACTGTAATAGCTTTGGCATCGTTGTGGTTTTTAAACCACATGTTTCTCTCGCTATCTTGAACGCCCAAATATCGGGTCCTCGCGATTGCGGCGATTCAATCTAAGGGTGTAATTAATGCGTAAACGACGATCTTCAGATGAAGAGTTTAGCTAAATGAAAATGGGAGACGCAGGGCCAAGTGCTCTAATTTTTAATCCCTACCCAAGGAAAGAAGCATGTATCCAGCACATTTGTACGTCTGGTTAATGTCGAAGGGAACTTAAATAAATGTCACTTGTAAGACTCGGGTCAGAAAGTTGGATCCCCTTTAAATGGTATATATAAAGACAACGGGGCGTAGATTCTCATCTCGACTGAACGCGCCATAGACACTAGCTACCATCGTACAAGGGGCGAATAAATAAATAGGTCATTTGGGCTGTAACACGAATTTTATCAGTTCGAGAACAACTGATACACTCCTTTTCAAATTTACTCGCCTACCTGCTTTCCTCCTAGTGGTGGAGCCACGCATTGTCTCCTCTGGCATTAGATGCAGCGCCATTAGCGGCCACTTCGTTAGTGTTAACGTCTAGACACAATAGATGAACTATAGTCGAGGAGACACAGAAACTCGGAACATACCCCTGGGGTCAACAGCAGGGACGGCGACCGCATTGACTGCAAGCGCGAAAAGGGCAAAGACGACGACGGCGGCCTTGAACATGGTATGGTGTTTCTCTTGCGATTTGGAGACGTTGCTTTGTCTTGACATCCTCGACTCGACCTCAAGGCTTTATAGCTCTCACACTGTGGCTCGAACAGCTTGTGAGATTGGTAGATCAATCACATTGTTCAACCTAGGGGAGTTTGAGCGGATGTGCTTAGCATTGGGTTCGTTCGGGGAATATTAGATAACATTCCAGTTCTTCCATACCCGACAGTCCGCTTCTTTAGCCGCTACCTACTTCAATAGGACCGCTGTTCACTTTGGCAGTTTGCGCGTCAGCATCACGTCCCGTACCGAAGACGCAATGAAGTGAGGACCCAGGTGGTATTCTTAAATCCCGCTCGATGGTTGATATCACTGATATACTAGCGAACGGGTTGGATTGACTAGGATACTTTCAACCTTCACCTTAATTTCTCCAGACCTAGCTGTAGTGGGTGCACGGGGACGATGCGCCGCACAGGTTAAAGGGATTTCCAAATGGGGTGTCCGCATAATATGTGATGACCCGCCTACTAGTACTCAAGGAAAATTAAAGGACAATGATACGATGCGCAGTGATAAACCCCCACCATTTCTACATGTAGTAGATATATCATATCATTCCTGTAGGAAGATCTGCCACTGCAAACAAAAGTGGAAAAAGAATGATTATCTGCCTCGTCGTCCATCTTGGATCTACATACATATCATTGGCCTATGACGCCGGCCGTTATATGCACGATATAGCTGACATAAATGCCGGTAGTCTTCGAGCTTCAAGCTTCAGCGAACAAATATCTTAGTGCCCAAATGTAGGTTCTTCACAACCTGGAGGGGCAGTTAGACTTGATGGCGTGATTGGTGAGCGAATGATTATCTTCAGAAACGGGTCTTGATTTGTCTTCTTTGTTCGCCCAAAAGATGCCCAAAAAAACAGATTCTTCCATGTGTGCCAATTGTAAGAAGGTTTCGTTGTTGATCTAGACTGTACATGCGAGGCAAAGGTGACCACGGAGCCGTTAAGACTAAAAATTTGAAGACCGTACCATAGAACGCGTAAGAAAGACAGTTTCCGACGCCTAAATCCTTTAGGAGAGATTTTTCGTGAAAGAGTTCCGCTTCTCCGGCGCTGCTTCACCCAGCGTAGTACCACCGAGCGGGATGGGAACACAATGCCTGTCGAGCGACCAGTAGGCTTCATCCTGAAGTCAACGCCACTCCAAGCCTGAGTAACGACACCCTTGCCCCATGCACGGCGTGTTGGTTGTGACAACGCGGAGGGCGATGATCTGAGGAGCGGAGGCACTGAGAGCATGGTCGATCAATCGTTCCTTGTGGTGTTGTAGAGGCGAAGAAGATAGACGTACAGCAAGCTTGGCTCACACCTGTCCGATTGTGCTAACCCAGGCGCATTTTCCTTGCCTCCGCCGCATCGAACAGCTAGCAAAACCTCGCGAGCTCGGGGCTGGGACAGGCATACGCAGCGTCATTGCCGTGAAGATCCTCCGCTCTTCCTCCTCATCCGCACGTCGCCTCGGGATAATCGCGAGGAAAAATCAGCCGGATGTCCTCGTCCAAGTTACATCACCACTAGCTCCCGCTGCGACGTGTCCGTCCGGTCCTTCCCCGCAAACGCGCGGATGGTCGAGATGCCTTGAATGGGGGTGGAATTTTGGGTAGGAGCGACGCGATGTAATCCCGTGAAAGAGCTTGATGGAAACAGGTAGGACTGAAGTCGGGCATGGTGGGGGTTGAATGTTGAGGATGGGACCGGGGGTGGGGATAGGGAAGGGGAAGGGCGGGGCAGAGAGGTGGCCAGGAGGCTTGTTCTGGGCTATTATTCAACGTGAGTCTACGACGAGGAGAGCGAAAAGCAAGAACGACACACCTTGAAGGGTATCGTCGACCTCCTTCAGGTGCTCAGGAAAGACTTTGAACGCTCAGTTGAGCGCAGGACCTCGGTCTGTCGAGCGTTCGAAATGCTGAACGTTGACGTCAGTCGGCAAGAGTATTGTGGCGTGTTTGACGAAGCCTTATGCATTATGTGGCGCATGAGTGCAATGCCCTTTTAGTGCCCTTTTCTGGTCGCCGCATTTCCTTGTTATCTGTGTACCTCGTCGACTCGTCAACTGTTCATTCCGGCTTTCTCTTCCTCCACCTACCGCCCACCACATTCTTCCTGACTGTTCCGCCGTCTCTGGCCAAACGGACGATCCAACACCTCATCCACAACAGATTCCGGTTATGCCTACACCGAGAATTACAATTTTGCGATTAATTCTGACACAGAGATGGAGCTGCTTTGAGCGGACCCTCTCGAACACCCATTTGCCATCAAGTGGGTGACAAGACTCGTCCGACGTTTGGGTTACCTGCGACGCCGACACTGCGTTCGAGGAGTGTGGTGCTATCCCCGAAGACGGAGACAACCTACTCCCAACTTTGACATGCTGCGAGGAAGGAGAAGATGGTGCCCTGATGAGGATCTTCACATGCATTTCCGTCGGCGTCGGGAGACCATAAGGAAATCCTCGTCGACTGCCCCGGTCTCGGTCTCATAGAGCAACTACAGTCGGCCGGCAAAGCTGGGGTAGCGCCATCCTCTTCGCAGAGCATATCTGTATCAACTCAGACACATTTTCCATGCCGCCATCCCACCAAACACCTGCCAAACCATCACATTACGAGTCCTCGAGCTCGGCCTCGTGAACAGCATGCTTAGCGCATGGTCGCCACGAAGACCCTCTACCAGTTCTCTGCACCACGCTGTAGATCATCGCGACAGACTACCACCCAGACGTCTTCGTCAACCTTGCCAAAGACATCACTACTGAGTTCCTCATCACCTCCGTCAACCATTACATCGTTGTTGAGTGGAAAACCCGACCCTCAACCTTTCGATGAGCCATCCTCATCACTAACGTGATCCACCACCCGTCACAAACGCTGTGGACCAGGCTCAAGACCTGTGAAGAGACGCTCCCTCGATGCCCCAGTGCGAGGGAATCTTCGGAGGAGCATAAACGCGAGAGCGTGGATGAGGAAGGACGAGAGCGGGGCGTTCTGGTTGATCGTACCGGTTCAGATGGCGGGTCGCTACGAGGGTATGGCTAGGACCGTCGATGCTTTGTTTCCTAACGGAGACTGATGTTTCGGCAGTAGGATGTTCACAGAAACGTAGGGGTTGGAGGGCAGTGCTCTATTGTGAAGATAGTGTTGGGAAGGTGGACGGGTTTAAGATAGGTTGGATTGAGTGCCGGGTTTTGTCGGTGCTGTTCTCTATGCCTCCTGGGCCAGTACCCATTTGGCTACCCTGCACGGTTTGAGCAACGTACAAGAATCAGGAAAGCGACTCTTGTCCGAATATCTTTTTCCTTATCGAGTATCCAAAGTTTAGGTTCCTCAGCCTGACATCCTCAGTGCCGTGCTTGAAAGAATCCCCTGCCAAAGTAGCCAAAGCCGATCCCTCTTCACCTCAAGGCGTCAAGCCTTGGCTGGCTGTCGAAGTGGACTCGCCCTACCAGCACCGTCGCTGAGGACGTTCTTGATCGCTGCACGATCAAACCAGGCGTGGAGAACTTGGGGGGAAGACGAAGACGAGGATTCGGTAGATGATGTCGGTGGTTGTGTGGGTCTATTCCTGCAATTGATCCCAATTAAAGCTACTCATCGTATACCACTTGCGAACTGAGATGAGGTGGTTTCCATTGTCTAGGTAAGCCGTCACTTGAGCGAATTTCAGCGATGGCGAAGATAGGAGTTGGAGGGTGCACGGAAGATCTGTTGGGACGAGCATTGGAAACAGAACAGGTCCCCCCTCATCGGGCCCGAGTGCTGGTGAATCCTGAGTCAGAAATGCCGACGTCATCCACACCGTTGTTTTGCGAGTAGTTGGAACACGTCCATCGGAGATTGTAACGAACTGGGTGTATTCGGACTGTTGTATCTGAGAGTTGCGACGAAATAGCATAGAAGGGGTGAGGCTGGCAAAAGAAAAAGAAAATAGGAATACGTCATTAGGAGAAGGAAAGGAGGAATAACAAGTCGACCTTTTCTAACGCCGTCACCCTCTCACCCGTGGCAATCTGCCGCTCTTCTATCCGTATCGGGTTTTCGCCATGTTGCGCCGCGCAGTTCTGGAATGAAGAGTTGATTGATATCAGCATACATACGCGTCGACCATGGTCTCAGACAGAAAGAAGGAGGGTGGAAAAGGCACGATAAAGGTTTATTCGAAGGGCAAAGGGGAGATACGCACCGGTCCTTGAAGCTGTCACCTCGGTCCCTTCGTCCATCTCCAGTCCTTCGTCCACTCTCTCCTGAAATGAGCTTTCGTTCTCCAGCCTCATCATCTTCTCCAGCATCCCGTCTCGCTCGACAGTTTTGTCTCGTTTATATCTTCAATCCTCTGCGTCGCCTCCATCCAGTCGTATTTCCTCTTATATGCGTATTTCTTGCCATAGGTTGCGGCTCCGACCTTTGCACGGGCGGTGTGGAGGGCGTCATCGTCTCTTGGAGGCGAAGGACCGTTTGTAGGGCGTATTTGTGGAAGCGAGTAAGCCTTGCTATTCTGCCATCGTAATATGTTTCTGAAAAAATTATGAGTCTAAGAGGGATTTCATGCGGTAGGGGTTCCATGCCTACTATAATATGTTCGGGCCGCATAATTTCTTGCCCCGAGACACCTTCACGAACTTGGGGACTTACGATCAGGTTTCGACTTGAAGAGCAAGCTGGGAGCTCAGCTTCTCTGCTTATCGTCATCGAAGTATTAAAAACCAGCATGAAACCAGCTCAAATTTTATCCACTTTCACAACGATAATCACCTTGCGCTTCTCCTCTTCTAACCACAGCTTAAATTCATCGCTCTTCCGACAGAAATTCGACGAGATAATGGTGCGCCCTTCGGGGGTATAGGACGAGACACAGAAGAGCTTGACGACGAAGAAGGTGCGTCCGGACTCCGGTGTGTAGCTTGCGCGAGAAATATTTGAGAACGAGAGAGGGGGAGGGAAAGGAGAAGGAGAGGGAAGGGAGAGAGAGATAGTCCAGATGCGCATGCTCAGGCGTCGCCATTGAGACGCCTTTCAGAAGTTCATAGGCCTTTCTGGTGACGCTGAGGGGTTGTTTCTCGAATGGGACTGGGACCTTGAGCGGGAGCGACAAGGCTGTTTTTATAAGAGTTTGAAAAAGGCAGTTGAGGTCAGGACGGCCGAGGACGGCATTGAACGTCGAAGTTTGAATATCAACCGTATATGTTCAAGTTCCACTGTCCCAATCAGGTCCCAATTGATTACACCTTGCCTCATTTCCATATTTTTCTGTTGTCACCAACTGCGACTTGACGAGTTTGCTTTGGTCCCGTTTTGTCTCTCAGTGGGTGGCTAGTAGAATCACCCAGATCATGTAGTAATTTCATTAAAATTTAATAAGATTTTTTTTTTCATATTTTTTTTTTTCGTTGTGCTTCGAGGGTGCCCGAGCTCGCCGGACGCCAGAGGCAGAGGTGCGCAGCGAAGCTAACATCATCTAGATATCTGTCCGGAAACAAAAATAGATGGCACACCTAAAGATTCCGAAGGTCACCTCTCCCCAACCAGTCATTCCTGCCCCCCCCACCCCGACAGTGGAGGAAACGGTGAAGAACAGCGACGAGATGTATTTCCAGGCCATTGCCACCCTTCCCCCGTCAAAAACGGTGCACAGGAGCCCCCAAACAACAACCTCCTGGAATATATATATTCAAAGGAATACACCACTGTTACTCTGAGCTGAAACCCAGAATCATAACAAGTTCCCTCTTGACAGTACCAGTATCTCATACTTGCGAACACTGTTGAAATTGAGAGCAAATTAACAGATGAATATAACAAATTATAATCAGTATTTGATGATGGTTTCAAGAGAGAGGGAAGGCATAATGAAGAGATGAGAATCTGGATTTCAGAACATCAGGAAAGCTGAACACATGATTGCTGTGCTGGAAACAGAACCGATGACGACACCTAGACCATTGCCAGATCTGAGTTCGCTCTTCGGTAATCCTCACTGGACTGCACATACACCAAATTTTCAGTACAATAATGCAGCGACCACTGTGTTCACTCACCTCGTCGAAAACATTCTGAAGCTTCTCTTGCACCCGTTGAGTGAGCTTACCAAGAGGCAGCTCACACGCATAAACCTGCGTTACCTCCCAACCATCTGTCAGCTTCTGCCTATCGCGGACAGATTCTGCATTGCGCTGTTCTGACCCTACCATAACCAAGTGCCACGTGACATTTGATATGTGATTCATATCCTTGTGAACCTTCTTGAGGCCGTCTGCCGCAGACCTATGAGTGCTGCTTATCGTAAACTGCAGGGCGTAAACATCGTTGTCAACACGAATTACAGCATCAACACCAGGGTAGTTGGTTTCTCGAGGTCGCCAATAGAAATTGTGGGGTGGCTGGATATTCTTCAGTGCGGTCGACCCTGCTATCATCCTGGCGGCGTAAGGGATGGAGAGCGGGGCTAATTTTTGATCGGCGCAATACACTTTAAGCGTGCCACGAGTTGGGTCAGAGAAGTAGACATGGGCATAACTCTCGAAGAGCCATCCGGCGGCACCGCGAAGAGATGGATGTCCATTGAGCATGTTGAAGAAGGTGTGTCGTGTGGCTTGGTCCTGAGAAGAAAAAGCCACCCCGAGGGCACTGGCGATAAGCGGCGTAGGGATGGACAGAGCAGCCAGTCGCCGATCGTTGTTGTTGGGTCTGACAGTGAATATCTTGGACGAAACATCGCCACTGAAATCAAGGCTTTCGATATTGGGAAACATTACCAAGAACTGGCGCGCAAATGTGGCGGCTGCTGTTTTGATATCCTGAAGGTAACCGTTTTCCGGCGTTCTTTTTCGGAGAATGTCGATGATAATCCTGGGGCTCGGCCCATATTTATCGAAGAGGGCCTTACCCTGCAGCACATCGAGTTTGAACATAATGCTAGCACCAACGTGTCAGTGGCATAACAGTGTAGATCATACCACGTACAGCAACGTTCGAAATTCCTCCGGCAACCACACGTCCATGATGTACTTGATAGCACCGAGGCGTTTTACCCAATCCTTCCAACGAGAAGAAGCCGGCGAGCTCGTATGTATGACATGGGCAAATGGCTTTTGGAAGGCGCTGCAAAGCCCACGGTGCCCATCGGACGAATCGGACAACGCCCATGCGCCGGTTGGAACACGGCCAGATTCCGATGAATGTATACTAACACCCTGCTCGCAGAAGAGGGCATATTCACTCGAGTTGATTTGGAGAGCGACCGGTTCCTTCTCCTGGAGTCGACGGGCCAAAACGTATAACAAGAACAGGGTTTTCCCTATCGCGTTGGATCAGCCAATATTTCGAGTTCCTACATTCGACGTACCGATTCCTGGTTGACCTGTGACTAGGAAGGCAGATCGATGTCCCGGCGGCTGTCTCTCCGTATCCATGAGAATGGTGTCGTAAGCATGGACGTACTCCTCGCGGACCAGGAGCAGGTCCTCAGGACGGGGATTTAGTTCGAGGCGGAAAAGCGTGAGGTTGATAGTAGACCATCTCTTTCCAGCTATGTCACTGTGGACTTCGACTCTATCTCGACCCCACAAGTGGGTGTGAAGTAGCTGCAGATCCTGGAGGTCTTCGGGTGTAGACATGTTAAAGTTGTAAGTTGTTGCCAGCGAAGTGGGCTCTTAAGTTCTACTCTATAGGACTTTGTCGTGACCTGTGCCCCCGACTGTCACCGGATCGCACGGTCCCGGATCTCCGGCACGTCACGTGGCCTCCCCCCCGCGTCGTG